GACATCTATTGACACTAATTACTTTAAAATGCACTAAGCACTTTTAATCGCGGCCCGCGAACCTATTTGCATACTAAAGTTTGGCCCTCAACATGTTAAAGGTTGCCCATACCTGATTTACAATTTTAAATAAATAGAAAACACAGAGCGATGTGTACTTCGTCTGCCATAGATGGCACCAGTTTTTATATACATTAATACCAGATACGACAGATACAACATTAACAAGCAGTTAATGTTGTTGTATCTTTCTTCTAATAAGTTGCTTTCTCCGTTTCAGTCAGGTTTTCGTTCTGGCCATAGCACTGTGACTGCACTGTTGAAGGTAACAGATGATATAAACAAACTGCCTCGGTGGCCGAAAGGTTACCATGCCGGACTGCCATGCAGAGGTCCCAGGTTCGATTCCCGGGCCGGGAGAAATAGTATAAATAGTTGTATGGCCTACAATTATTTCTCTCGTGAGTTTGGGTGTAATTTGTGGTTGTCTATGTGTGTGTCCAAGGCACCCGCGACACAGGGTTTCCCTAGTGCGGGGCTATGTTGAGTGTGTGCGTTATTTATTATTATTTATTATTTATATTCGCCTCGCAATGGACAATGGTCTTCTCACTTTGCTTATACTTCTGGACTTCAGCAGTGCTTTCAACTGTATGGACTTTGACGTATTGCTTGCTTCTCTTCGCTCTTTTAATATTTCTCCTTCGGTTATAGCTTGGTTCGACTCCTACCTCAGAGGCCGCTCGCAGTGTATTCGCTCTGACGAGGCTTCCTCTGATTGGTGTGACTTAGTTGCTGGCGTTCCTCAGGGTGGTGTTCTTTCCCCTCTCCTTTTCTCTGTTTTCATCAACTCTGTCACTTTTGTGCTGTCTTCAAACTTTCATCTCTATGTTGACGATTTGCAGCTATACCGCAGATTTAAAGCGTCTGATGTCGTTACAGCCGTTGAAGCGGTTAATGCTGATTTACGAAGCATCGCTCACTGGGCTGAGTGTTTTGGTTTGTTGGTGAATCCCAAAAAATCACAGGCTATGATTGTGGGAAGTGGGTATATGCGTGGCATATTGCATCTAGGTTCTGTCCCACCTATAACGTATAAATCCACGCCTATTGCTTATGCTTCTACTGCAACTAATCTTGGCTGGCTTTTAGATTGTAATTTGGTTTGGACTCCACATATTAATGAAGTCAGTCGTAAAGTCCATTTCTCCTTCCACTCACTTAAGCGGCTCCAAAACGTTTTACCTTTAAAAACCAAGATATGTTTAGTCCAAACACTTATTTTACCCTTCTTAGACTATGCTGATTCCTGCTATTTGGATGCTACTGAAGAACTGCTAAATAAGCTTGAACGACTGCAAAACCTATGTATAAGGTTCATCTTTGGGCTTCGTAAATATGACCGAATTTCACATTTCCGCAGTTAGCTCAAATGGCTTCCCATCCGTCTCCGCAGGAATTTGCATATTGTCTCCATTCTTTACAATATTTTACATAACCCTCTGTCTCCCGGGTACCTGAAAGAGCGTTTCAGCTTCCTTAGGTCCCAGGATAAACCCTGTCGCTCTCTTGTTAGGTCCCAGTTATCTTTTCCATGCTTCAATTCCGGTTCAATTCCTACACTGTTCATGCGGTCCGACGTTGGAATGCACTTCCTATTACTGTTCACGAAAGTAAATCGTTAGCTATTTTTAAAGTAAGAGTTTTTAAAGTAAGAGCATTATTTATCTACTATTTCATCCATATCTTAGGTATTATATTATAAAATATGTATTTATCTAAGTACCTATTTATATAATTTATAACAATTTAATATTATTATATTATTTTTATATTATTTTTTTTCCGTTTTGTTGTGCACATATGCCCGTTCTTTTAGTTATAGTGTCCTGTATTTAGGTCTGCAGGAAGAAATTTCTATTAGAAATAAGCAGAATCTTTTGTTTTTAATTTCGCTTGGATTCTTTGTGACTTGTTGTATTTTTCCTGTACAATAAACTATTAAATAAAGAAATAAATACAATCAAAAATGTACAATTAAAACCTTTTAAAATTACAAATTTAAGTTACACACACCGTTACAGTTAAATTAAAAATCAGTTTATGAATGACTGAATTTAACGTATTATAGCCGATCTTTGTATTAATAATTATAACAAACTAGTGGGGATTTTACGAAAAATAAAACGAATATATCCATGGTAATCAATAATTAAAATTCAAATGTACACAATTTCAGAGAGACGAATGCAACAGACTTTGGGTGATGGACACAGGCAAGATCGGCGACACGCAACACTGTTCTCCACAGTTGTTGGCTTTCGACCTCGACAATGACAAGCTCGTCTACCGGTACCGGTTCAACCAGTCTGTTTATAATGAACAGTCATTGTTTGTTACTCCAGTAAGTTAGCATTGTCTTCTTCTTAAGGTGTCGATGGCATACGCAATAATGCTTGCCATGGTGGTGTAATAATTTGTTAATGCGCGTAAGATTCTCTCTGATTGTTGCCCAAGGTGTGCTAGAGGTACAGTATAGGAAAAAAAACATCGTGCGGGGAGGTTTTCATACACCCCATTCCCTATTTGGCATAAACGCTAAGCAAGATCCTTTTGGTTCCACACACCGTTAGACACACGCAAGTTTCTTATTGGTACTATCAACAAACTTGACGCCTTGTCACTTGGATTATTTTTGCATGCGACGGTTACAATCAGTAACTTATTTCTGGTAACCAATGGCGTTTAAAGGTTAGGATATAGTTACGGCATTAAGTTGGTTTCAATAAACAGAAAATGAAAGAAGGATGGCGACATCCCGTGTAGAGATGGGTCATGGATAAGTATCCATATTTATCCATTTTGACTCTATATTTATCCGAAAACGTGGATAAATATTTCTAATCGTGGTTTATTATTTATATAGTGAAACAAAGTATATTTTTAAGCTTAATTGTAAACATTAATACAATTTAGTAGCATGTACGTATAATATACTGCTTGTTATACCTTTTTTTCTATACGCAGCATTGACCTATACGCAGTGATAAATACGAATATGCTTAAGTACCGTAAATTCCTGTATTTTCGCGTGAATCTTATTATTTTTTAAATGCGTAGTTTGTTAAAAAAAACTCTACACACAATATTAAATAGCTGTATAACATTTTGTATGGATGTTTTTCAAATCACTAAGTTGGTCCATTATTGTTCAATTGTTCAGCTTCCTATATAAACTAACTCGTACTAAACCAATACGTATGCTATATATAGGTAGACATATATATCTAGCGAGTGCTTTTGAACGTCCGCGAATGCCTTTGAGTGCCAGCGAGTGCCTTTGAGTGCCCGCGAATGCCTTTGAGTGACAGATAGACACTGGCTGGCACTCAAAGGCACTCGCTAGTACTCAAAGGCACTCGCTGGTACTCAAAGGCACTCGCTGGTACTCAAAGGCACTCGCTAGTACGCAAAGGCACTCGCTAGTACTCAAAGGCACTCGCTGGTACTCGCTGGCACTCAAAGACACTCGCGGGATTTTGGGATCACCCAAAAGGACGCGGTTGCACTCAAAAGCACTCAATGGCACTCGCGGGCACTCCCGGGCACACAAAGGCACTCAAATGCACCCAAAAGCACTCGCTGGTACTCCAAGGCACTCTCGGACACTTAAAGACACTCAAAGGCACTCAAAAGTACCCAAAGCCTCTCAATAGGGCTCAAAGGCACTCGCCGGCATTCAAAGGCACTCGTTGGCACTCAAAGGCACTTGCTAGTACGAAAAGAATGAATTTGCGCGCAAGAATGACACAACCATACCCTACAAAGCAAAAATGGCGGACTAAGCTCAAGTAGGTCTAAGGAGACCTAATGTTGGCACGTGTCAGTCGCTATCTAACCACTCTACTGTATTTATTGTTCTGTGGGTAAATAGATGGAGCTAATCATAAATAAAATAAAATAATACGGCATTATCTATAAAAATGTGTGCAATAAGCGCCATCTAGTTAATTTGTTTTTTATTACTAAACACATTAATTTGTTGCCATAAGTTTCAACTCTTTCTAAAGACAGTGTTAATTACAATTAATTCAGGTGGTGGATGTAAGACCAGGCGATTGCAGTGATACATATGTGTACGTAGCAGACGTCACTGGCTACGCGCTGGTAGTGGTTGACGTGGCGAGAGAACGCTCTTGGCGCCTCACTCATCGCCTCTTCTATCCGTTCCCCTCACGAGGGACCTTCACCGTTGACGGTAAGATTCCACAACATCATTGGCTCGCAATAGTTTGTTGTGAACTATACAACACCCAGACCCGAGACAATAATAGAAAATAGAAAAATTGAGTTTAGCTTAATTGTAATACTCTTCGCGAAAAGGGGACCTGATGACCTGTAATACAGGCATCTTTATACCTACCTACCTTAGGCACCTGTCCCTCGCAAATAAGGTTTAATGTTAAAACTCACTAAGTCAGGAAGCGTTTATATAATTTACCTTGTATGTTGAGAAAATAAATAAACAAATAATTATTTTTATATAAAAGATATTCTACACTGACCCAGCCGGGATCGAACTCGTGACCACAGAGGTCGTCAAAATCTGGCGAATGCGCTGCCTGTGCGTCGCGCTCGCGCTTGCGCCTCTTTAACCACTTCTCACGCAAGGCAAGCAAGGATAGATGACAATAGAATGGAATCTCATAATAAGACCATGACTAAGGAATAGAAAGTATAATGGTATAGTAATCTTTACTATGGTTTACAAGTAAATAATAGACGCCATCACATAATGTTGCTCCGATTCTAAATTAAGTAACTAAAGCACTTGTGTTATGGTAATCGAAAACAACGGCGGTACCACAAACACCCACAACCGAGACAAATATATAATAATTTAGTAGCAGTAGAGCTCCTTGTGAAAGAATTCGTCCAGGGAAGTACTGCCACCTTACCTATTTCTGAAAAAAAAATTATATTATTGTTTGTTTTTTATAATATTAAGTGACGGGACGAACAAGTCGTGCGCCTGATAGTAAGTTACACGCGTGCCCATAACAATTGAAGTGCTACGCAGAACTTTAAATCGCAAAGTTATGAGGGACACTTCCACTGCACCCGTCTCTCTGAGTCACAAGTTGACAAGTTCTATGTGCCTGTAATTTCACCAGCACCCTCACACTACAAAATCGGAGCTCTACTGCTACAAAATGTTATTATGTGTATGTAAAATGTTATTTCTTCTTGGGACGACTGGAGGCGCTGTGCAATTTGCAATTTGCAATATAAATTTGTCAAATATTTTACGCGATCGCTAGCGATAACTGAAAGTCCATGGTAGAGGTACTGAATGAACAGATCGTAATGCACGTGTGCAGTTCGCGAACAGTCTTTCGTAAACAGGCGCATTCGCGTTTAGGTTGTCGTGATTGCTACAAATTGGAAATTGAACTGTTTATCGTATCTAAATCGCGTACATCTATTCTTTAAAACAAATGTCAACGGTGGGCAGGCTCTACAGGTCCCGTGGTCACGGCTAACACACATACTTGGAACCCGTAAAGAAAACATATATAAACTTCATGAAGTCAGTGACAGAACACGACGACAGAGTCGATGTTAAAATATATCGAGATACATTTCGACATTTAAACTACCATTATATATATCATGGCAACTATTGAAATAAATGCATTAATACGCCACGGGAATAATGGCGAATAGTCGTGGTGACTGTTTGTTAATTTTCAGTTTAATTCCCGTATATGTAACCGAGCTGTACAAAATAATAGTATTGATGTACATTGTGACACAATTTAAAAATTTCCGCCATACCATTTCGCGACTGGATGAGTTCATCGACTCCATATTTTCGATGTCTCGATCACAGACTCTTTTTTCCGTCTGACGTAATTTCATCGTCTTAACTGCCTCTGTGGCCGAACGGTTACCATGCCGGACTGCCACGCAAAGGTCCCAGGTACGATTCCCGGGCCGGAAGAAATATTTGTATAGCCTACATTTATTTCTCTCGCGAGTTTGGGTGTAATTTGTGTTTGTCTGTGTGTGTGTCCATGGCACCCGTGACACAGGGTTTCCCTAGTGCGGGGCTATGTTGAGTGTGTTCGTTATTATTTACCTTACCTTTACCTTAACTTGTGAAAATAAAGATGATATACTTTCCACGTATTTTTTAGTGAACTATTTGTCAATGATTTGTGGACTTATCTAAAATGTATAATGAATTAATCTAACTACAGAGTAGTAAAAAACTGATATCAAAAGTCATTGATCCGGTAGTTTGCCACCCTTAGAGGTGGAATATTTTTTAAATTTATATAGAACCACTTCTGAGGTATCCTCTTTTACAAAAAAAATCATCAAAATCGATTCACAAATGGCCGGAGTTATCGCGTTACATTCGTACAAAAAAAACGTACAGTCGAAATGAGAACCTCCTCTTTTTTAGTCGGTTCGATAGATTCTTGATGTTTACAAAAATATATTTGTAGACCTCTTCTATAAAGTTATGTCGTCTTAATTTTACCCACCTGTCATTCTAATCAAGCTTAGTTATACGTGGTTTTACGGAGTATAGTGTTAAAATTTACTTTCAGGTGAGAGTTTCGATGAAATGGACGGAGTATTGGGCATGGCGTTGTCCCCTTGGAGACGTAACCGCGATCGGTTCCTCTACTTCCACGCTCTTGCTTCCACCACAGAAAACGTGGTCCGGACATCTGTACTCAAGAATGATAGTTTCTTGGCAGATCCTAACGTTGACCCTAAACTTATCAGGGTAAGTTGAACATGACTAACGGAAATACTAGTGTCCAAATAATTAATAGATTCAGGCGTTACTTTATAGAAGTCAATGTAATAAAAATACAACCAAATAGTTCTGTGCGAATCCAGTTAAGGTAAACTCATAGGAGATAACTAAACGATAAACACGAAAAATTCACTCAAAATATTTTTGGTTTACGTAGTTAAGCACATGCTCACCTCAAGAGAGCGTTGGCGCATAGCAACGTTGTTTGTGATAGACATACATAGAACATCCACTTCACACCTCCACGAGTTTTCCATACATAGTTGACCATATTTACGCCTCACTACCTCCACAAGTAACATCTTTATTACATGTTAAAACTTATAATGACATCAAATTAAAAATTTACTATAATATTGTGGCGCAGCGGGCTGCTGTTCACAACTCAATGTCTGGACACCTATTTACTTAATTAATTTTATCAATATTTACTTGTATTTTTATTCATGGTAATGTCGTACTTCATGTTTTTAATCATTATCGGGTACTGTTGGAAATGACCTCAATCATAACAGAAAGACGATATCTATAACTTAAATTCAAAGACATTTTTTATCTTTAATCTTTTGTGTGTTCTGCTCCAACAAAAAATATCGAAAGCCGAGTCTTAATACCCAAAATATGAATTGTTTACTTAGATACCTACTTTTTACAGGTATTCCCGGATGAGCGACCAAATCAAGCAGTTGCGGAAGCAATGGATCGGAAGGGCATCATGTATTTCGGACTCATGGACCCGCCAAGTATTTGGTGCTGGAATTCTGCCACGGAGTACAATCAAAGGAATTTCCACCAAGTCGCCGAAGACAGGGAAACTCTACAGTTCGCCAGTGGGGTCAAAGTCATCAACAACCTTAAGGGAAAACAGGAGTTATGGGTTCTTACATCAAGCTTCCAAAGGTTCATGACTGAGTCCCTAAGCTCTAACAGGACAAACTTCAGAATTCACACGGGAAAGATCCCAGTGATCTTGGCAAGGTCACCATGTTTGTTTCCTCCAAAGAATCGGCGGCATGATTACTATGCAAACATTATCGCTGCCCCAGCCGAATAAGGCGGTATTATGAAAATGACAATTTTACAGTAAAAATTTAAAACACACGAAACGCATTTACGAAGCTAGTGCTAACTCGATTTTAAAGATCTAGGTAACAATAAAAGCGGTATAAAATTTGTAAGGACGGGTATGATGTGTATCTGCTTAATTGTCAGTAATACAGACATATTTAATAAAAACGAATTAAATTTTTATTTTCCACATCTGTAATGGTACAGAACATCCTCCCTAAAAACCCTGATAATCATACTATAATGTACGCTGGGAGACTTTGTACCAGGAACTTTTATCGCCACTTTTGTATAAATTATTATCACAGTATTTTAGTGTTTACTGTGAGTTTTAAACATTTACAAATTTAAAAATGTTTATAAGTAATTTACAATATACATGTAATAAACTACGTGTATGGAGCACACAACTTCTTATCTCATCTTCTTCACTATTAGAAGTCTCAATGTCGTGGCCTTTTATTAGGTGGAGTTTGAACAGTTAAACCCATATAAAATCTGTGATCATTTATGGGTTAAGACCATAATTCACACGGGCTGAACAAATCTTTATGCAAAGATGCAGGAATAAGTATAGGAGCAGAGTAAACAACTTCCAAATGATGCACTTGAGGACATTGTATTTGTACTGGTATTCCGCTGACGATGTGACCAAAGAAGTTTGCTCGTATTAAGGAATTTTTGGGGGACCATATTTGAAGAAAATTATATCTTCCTGACCAGCTTTGATAACAATCTCTCATATTTTTTACCAATAACCAATTTCGGTCATTGTCTTGAGTTAAATTTACTCCGTTTTTAGGAATCCATTTTTTAATGTCAATGAATTCCAGTAATGGCTGCGAGCAAGATGCAGAGGTGGGCAGTAATTTTAGCGGGCTATGATTGTAGTTACGAATATGGGCGCAGCGAAAATAATGCCGCGGATGCGTTGTCGCGATTACCGGTAGGAAAAGAGAAATGACAAGGCAAATAATCGACTTACTTGAATTTTTATTCAATATTGCCTTCCCGCCACGAGAAAATCTGTTCAAGAACATGCTAGTAAAGATGACGCGCTAAAAAAGGTGTTCTTATATTTATAGTCCGAATGGCCAACAGTTTGTAATAAGGAAATGTTAAATTAAAACCATATTTGACGAGGTGTAACAAATTTTACATAGAAATGGGCTGTATTGTGTGGGGTTGGTAATAAAGGAAAATTTACTGAAATAATTGGATGTAGGCCATTTAGGCATTGCTTAAATGTGTTACCCGGAGCATGTTGTGGTAACCTGGAAGAGATAGCAATATCCACGCCGAGCCGTGGTCACGATTACATATAGACTTTAGTAGTGAAACATTTTTAATTCTTATAGATGGAAGGCAGCAAGTAGAAGCTTAGTCTGTTTAATTAAACGCAGTATCGAACAGACGTCTTTTACTGTGTGTGGCGTTTGTACAGGGTTAGCTCAATAAAACAACGTCTGTTGCTTCGCGTACACGTGCGATACACACCCGCTCACGCCCATACTTCAACATTTCTTCCACTTGTTCCTCAATAATTTGTCTCTGTCTAGGGGAGACACGATATGGCATTTTTTGCAGTGGTTTTGATTTCAACCAATGACTGCTTACAACACCCAAGTTCACCTGGCGCAAAAGAAAACGTGTCGCGGAATTCTAATAATAACTGATTCAATTCATCCCGCCTTTTCCCCTGCAAAGAATTATCAATATTAAACTCTATCTTTTTATCTTTCTATCTTATCCATTGCCATTAATATTAAGACACAGTATGCGCGTATTATGATATAATGCTTAGTTCGAGGTAGAGATATTTCTATAAAATTGAATAAAAGAACACAATACCACGCAAACAGTTTTTGTCACAACTTCAGCGTATTTATAATGTTTTAAGCGATATAAATACAACTATTATAAATTTTTACTTTCTCCTGCGGTAATAAGAGTCGGTGCTGTAGCACTATTATACCACTTGTTTACAACTATTGGAATTATTTCGACCTACTAAAGAGCCTCTAAGAGCTAACGTTGGCGCCTAATTCGGACTATAAGAGAGTTATAGAGTGCTCTATTGCTAAATTTTAGGACGTACTACAGCTATAGGTGTTTAATGGAACTTATCAACGGTTATAGAGCTTGTTTTATCGCCAAATTGTTTATTGGGTAATAAGTACTAAATACCCAACTACGCTGTCTTCTATCGCTATTAGCAGTCATCTTGAGTTATTGATCCTTAGAAACAACTAAGTAAACCGTTTTTGATGCAGTTTTCTTTTTATGTAGGTACTTGTTACTTCATAAAGAATAAACTTTATTTATTGTTTTATCTACCTTTCTAAGTTTAACTTAAGTTTTAACTCTTTCTAATGACAGTGTTAATTATAATTAATTCAGGTGACGGATGTAAAACCAGGCGATCGCGGTGATGCATACGTGTACATAGCAGACGTGACTGGCCCCGCGCTGGTAGTGGTCGACGTGGCGAGAAATCGCTCTTGGCGCCTCACTCATCGCCTCTTCTATCCGTTCCCCTCACGAGGGAACTTCACCGTTGACGGTAAGATTCCACAACATCATTGGCTCGCAATAGTTTGTTGTGAACTATACAGCACCCAGACCCGAAACAATAAAAGAAAATAGAAAAACTGAGTTTAACCTAATAGTAATACAGGCATCTTTATGCCTATCTTAGGCACCAGTCCCTCGCCAATAAGGTTTAATGTTAAAACTCACTACGTCAGGAAGCATTTATATATTTACCTTGTATGTTGAGAGAAAATAAATAAATAAATAATTATTATTACATAATATATCCAGCCGGGATCGAACTCGTGACCACGGAGGTCGTCAAAGTCTAGCGAATGCGCTGCCTGTGCGCCACTCTCGCGCTTGACACACAAGGGTAGATGGCGCGCGTACAGCACACGAACAGTACCTACCCTTACCATGAGTTTATAGTCACAGTCGTCGCTAGCTGGTGGTGCGATTTAAGATGCGTGTAGCCCAAACCAGCCAACCATGCGGAGAATGCGAACGAAATATTTATATGCAAAATGTTATTTTTTCTTGGGACTACTAGAGGGCGCTGTATAATTTGCCATATTTTGTCAAATTCTTTACGCGACCGCTAGCAACAACTGTCACAGTAAGCTCGTGGTAAAGGTACTGAATAATCAGATAGTAATGCACGCGTGCAAATAGCGACACCTCTAGCTGGGGCTGATAGCTGTAAAGGTCAGTCTTGCGAGTGAGCGCATCGGAACCAGTCGCCCAGCGAGCTCGTCTCGTGAACCAGTTTGTGAGTTAACTACGGTTCAAACGTCTATTCATGCGAATCTATACCTTTTGCGGTAGCATTTAAGATCTCTTTCCGCTTTTTCGCTAATCGTAATACGCTGTCCATTCGCGTTGTAGTTGTTGCTGATTTATTATCGTTTTGCCATTTCGTTAATAATGAAGTGCTCAAAGTGTAACGAAAATGTGTTCGAGGAAGTATTTTGTGGACATTGTGACAAACATTTACAT